GCCAGCAACCACCTGGCTGGGTCACGCTGGAGCGGATAAAATACAATTATGTGTTAGCTAGTGTAGGTCGGTGGTCACCACCCTATGTGTAGAGTAAGAGTAACTGTTGAGTAAACGTTGTGTTAATTAATAAATGAGTGTTGCCTCCCAAGAAGTGTGTGCGCCTAAATTGAACCCATTACACAACTGTGATCCATTTCTTGATGCCGGTATTCATTTAGCTTCATGTCTGTGCTAGTTATTTTGTTTGTTTTGTTAACATCGGTGTGCAATTAGTGCTGGGATTTAGTGTGTCTTATTTCACAATCGGTTTTACTGCAGGTGGCTAGGAGATGTTAACTCTCTCGCCTGGTATACAGGAGGTCGTGGGTTCGATCCCGACCCTGCTGTATAGTTGCGTGTTCTCCCCGTGGTCGTATGGATTTTTCTTCGGATCCTCTGGTTTTCCCTCCACATTTAGAATCAAAATGCGTTTAGAATATTTGACTGCTATACATTTCCACGTGATAAGCCACTTTGTTCAGCTTTCATTTGTGATAACCAGATCGCTTCTGAAAATGAGCTACATCGCTCAGTGGGCCATACCTGGTAAAATAATAACAACATTTTTTTAATAGTCTATTTTAACGTGTGGCAGCTCAGTGGTTATCGTCAGTGGCGAGTGATGCCTCAACTGCACCAACCCCAACTGATGAGCACGGCAAAGTTACGGCTCACAAACCAAACCGTGACAGCCATCGCGGGCGTAACGGAGGCGTGCTTGGGGCTCATTGCTGACAGTGGCTTGACAAAGGGTTGCAAGAAAATTTAATATTAAAAACACTCTTTAATGAAATGTACCGTACGAGTAATGGCAGAACTCCACGACTCCAGGAAGTGGCCCCGAAGCTTGCCATAACGTATGGGACCGTGGTGATTTACAGCCAACGTTAGTTGAGCGTAGACAATTAGACCCAAGCCGAAACATAACATATAAAAAAGATTGCTTAAAATATATATATAATTTTTTTATGATAGAATATAGTATTGTCCTCAGTATGACATAAGTATACCAAGTTTTCAATCAATACCACATTGGGAAGTGGGTTAAAATTGAGTTACAATATTTGAGGATACGACAACAACAACGACAACAACAGACAGAGTGCGTTAAATAAAAGCGTGTAAAAAAATGACTTCGACTTGCCGCGTGCCGCTTCCCGCACGGCGTCCGCTCGTGGAGAGAGACAGCGACGACTCAAGAGGCGCGAGGAGGAACCACGCCGTGAATGTGCCCAAGCTCTGCAGTCCTCTATGAATGAACATGCGTTTCAGCTCATTCAAGAGTGGAGCAGCAGCAGGAGGCTGAGGAGGTAGAAGAGGTTGAGGAGGTGGTGGACGTTGAGTAGCAGCAGGAGGTTGAGGTGGACGAGGTTGGGGATGTGGTGGAGGAGGAAGTTTAGGAGGTGGTGGAGGTTGAGGAGGAACAGCAACACCGGAGCACCCGAGCCATGTGTACGATGGGGCCCAACACTCGATCTCACACAGAAGGCACAAATGTTCTTAGTCCATACCCATTTTTTTTGTGGGGTTTTGGGTGTTAACGTTGGTGGTATTTTTGGTCGTGGCTGTACCCAGAGTTATATTTGTGGGCTTTGTTTTTATGTTTTCAGAATCAGAATCTGTGTTCGGCCTCGAGAAATTCGATGAGTTATGAAGCTCTTTGTCCCAGATGTCCAGGGGGCGCGAGTCAGAAAGTTACAACACAACACAAAGTATAGGAATGGTAAGCACGTCGCTAAAAAAAACATATATCATCATAGGGGCCGTCCATAAATGACGTCACGCACCTAGGGGGGGGGGTCAAACATTTGTGACGATGTGTGACGAGGGGGGGGGGGGTTGAGAAATGTGACGTCACATCAAAATGCGCAACTTTAAATATAGACAACACGTTCTACTTAATTAAATAGACTTTTTAATAAATGTTTTCTCCTACAACATCAGAGTGCAGCGCCACATTAAATACGCACTACAATGACAATAGTTTAAAGCGATTTGAAGCATGTTTTATTTTAGGGGGGGGCAGAGCTTTGTGACGTCATATTTAAGGGGGGGGGGTCTGACTTTTTGTGACGTCGTGGGACGAGGGGGGAGGGGGATAAAAAAAATCGTCCAAAATCGCGTGACGTCATTTATGGACGGCCCCATACAATTTACAGGGAAATTGAGCAATTTTTTTGTCTACTTGTTTGTGTTTCTCCCTTGCGATGTGACTTTGTAGGATGAACGTCGAGATCTATAAGGGACACGGGGTGACCAATGTCTGAATTGGTCTGTGATAAGTTCGGGTTGACAGGCACGCTTTATATTCGTGAACATTTAGTTGTTATGGGTGCCGCGTGCACGTGCCACTACACATCATCGCCTCCCAACGACGCTTGAGGCTTGGACACAACTCGTGACGGCTGCCAACCACTTGGACCGCGGCCCCTAACGCTGTTTCAATGCAGCGAGCCGGTCACGTTAATTCACCACGGTCCCTTGAACGGCGGCGCGTCCTGCGCAGAGGATTCGCCGCGGTCTCCGATGCTGTTTTCCATCTGGCTCTGTCGATGATTTACCGCGGTCCCTCAGTCTGTTACCACGGTAACTACAGTACCGTACCGATTATTTGCCGCGGTCCCTAAGTCTGTTACCACGGTAACTGCAGTACTGTACAGATTTATCACGGTCCCAAAGTCTGTTACCACGGTAACTACGGTACCGTACAGATGATTTACCGCGGTCCCTAAGTCTGTTACCACGGTAACTACAGTACCGTACAGATGATTTACCACGGTCCCCGAACGGACGGTTACCCCTGGCAATATCTATTATTGTCCGTGGTCCCTAAGGCTGTTACCATAGTAACCGTGTGTCGGATTCACCGCGGTCCCTGGGCCGTGGACTCCGCGATGCTGGCAGCGAGATTCGCGGCTCTCTCCTGCACCTCCTCAACCTCCTGCTCCTCCTCAACCTCGTCCACCTCCTCAACTTCCTCCACCACCTCCACCTCGTCCACCTGCTGCTGCTCCTCAACCTCCACCACCTCCCCAACATCTTCCACCACCTCAACCTCCTCAACCTCCACCACCACCTCCTGCTGCAGCTGCTGCTGCCGTGAGCGAGAGGGGCCGCGTGTGAGATTGAGGGGAGAGAGTTGTTGAGTGCATGGGGGGGGGGGGGGGCTGAGTGAGTGCTTGGGGGAGACGGCGAGAGTGAGAGAGAGCGGTGCGTCAGGGCACGAGGAGGGAGCGTGCACCTAGCCTGGCACCAGCGCCGTGCTGACGTCACTGTGGTGAACGCCGGTTGTTGTTGTTGGGCGCGTGGGTGAGAAGAAGGGATGTGAGAGAGAGGGGTCATGAGAGAGTTAGTGTGAGAGTGTTAGTGTGAGAGTGTAAGGTCATGAGAGAGTGTTAGTGAGTGTGAGAGAGTGTTAGTGAGTGTGTGAGAGAGAGAGGTCATGAAAGAGTGTTAGTGAGTGTGAGAGTGTTAGTGAGTGTGTGAGAGAGAGAGGTCATGAAAGAGTGTTAGTGAGTGTGAGAGTGTTAGTGAGTGTGAGAGAGGGGTCATGAGAGAGTGTTAGTGAGAGTGTTAGTGAGTGCGAGAGAGTGTTAGTGAGTGTGAGAGAGTGTTAGTGAGTGCGAGAGAGTGTTAGTGAGTGTGAGAGAGTGTTAGTGAGTGTGAGAGAGTGTTAGTGAGTGTGAGAGAGGTCATGAGAGAGTGTTAGTGAGTGTGAGAGAGTGTTAGTGAGTGTGAGAGAGTGTAAGGTCATGAGAGAGTGTTAGTGAGTGTGAGAGAGTGTTAGTGAGTGTGTGAGAGAGAGAGGTCATGAAAGAGTGTTAGTGAGTGTGAGAGTGTTAGTGAGTGTGAGAGAGGGGTCATGAGAGAGTGTTAGTGAGAGTGTTAGTGAGTGCGAGAGAGTGTAAGGTCATGAGAGAGTGTTAGTGAGTGTGAGAGAGTGTTAGTGAGTGTGAGAGAGGTCATGAGAGAGTGTTAGTGAGTGTGAGAGAGTGTTAGTGAGTGTGTGAGAGAGAGAGGTCATGAGAGAGTGTTAGTGAGTGTGAGAGAGTGTTAGTGAGTGTGAGAGAGTGTTAGTGAGTGTGAGAGAGTGTTAGTGAGTGTGAGAGAGGTCATGAGAGAGTGTTAGTGAGTGTGAGAGAGTGTTAGTGAGTGTGTGAGAGAGAGGTCATGAGAGAGTGTTAGTGAGTGTGAGAGAGTGTTAGTGAGTGTTAGAATGTAAGGTCATGAGAGAGTGTTAGTGAGTGTGAGAGAGTGTTAGTGAGTGTGAGAGATAGAGAGGTCATGAGAGAGTGTTAGTGAGTGTGAGAGTGTAAGGGCATGAGAGAGTGTAAGGGCATGAGAGAGTGTTAGTGAGTGCGAGAGAGTGTTAGTGAGTGTGAGAGTGTGTTAGTGAGTGTTAGAGTGTAAGGTCATGAGAGAGTGTTAGTGAGTGTGAGAGTGAGAGAGAGAGGTCATGAGAGAGTGTTAGTGAGTGTGAGAGTGTAAGGTCATGAGAGAGTGTTAGTGTGAGAGAGTGTTAGTGAGTGTGAGAGTGTAAGGGCATGAGAGAGTGTTAGTATGAGAGAGTGTTAGTGAGTGTGAGAGAGTGTTAGTGAGTGTGAGAGAGAGAGGGGGCATGAGAGAGTGTGAGAGAGTGTTAGTGAGTGAGAGAGAGTGAGAGAGAGAGTGTCACAATGAGGGTTTATGGAAAGGAGGTTAGTGAGAGGTTCTGAGCGTCCATGAGAGTGTTCGAGACAGAGCGAATGGAGCAGCAATAGGGGGTCAGAGTGTAATAGAGAGTAGTACTGTAGCGTGTTTAGTGGTGGTGTGTACTGGTGTTTACACTTCTATTCTTGCGTATGGCGATGTGTTCAGTAGCGAGCTGCCAGTGTGGAGATCTGCCTGCTAGCCACGACGAGAGGGACTTCAAAAAGAGTTCGTGTGGCGCTGCTCTTCCTCTTCTGTTGAAGGAGCGCAGACCGCAGTGGGTTTACCGTGCGATCCATAGTTTGGGTTGCGTTGCCACAATCGCGTGACTTGTGATTTGTCGTTAATGTACCTCTGGTTCTCTATGTGTTTCTATGAGTCTGTATGTACAGGGTGCTTCAAAAGAATGTGAACATCTTATATTGGAAACTAATGGATAATATAATGTAACATGCTAACAAAATTATGTTAACAAAAGTTTGTTAATAGCTTCAAAAAGTCAAAGAGTCTCCACTTGTTCGCCATTTGTGTCAACACGTGCCTGGAATCTTCTCCAGGTGTTCTCCACAGCCTGGAGGCACATTTCTTGTGGTATAGTTACACATTCTCAGAAGTGTTAAAACATTTTTGAAGCATATTCTTGGTTCTTTTACCGAAAGAACCAAGAATATGAATCCCTGCAGTTACGAAAGCTTTAAATATAAAGTTTTGAAGCACCCTGTATTTGTGTCTCCATGGGTTTACTTTGTGGGTCCATAGTTTGGGTTTCATCGCCACAATCACACGACTGGTGGCTGGTCTGGTTTAATTTTCCATTCATCGAGGAGGCATGCGCATGGGGCCTCTTGTTGATGTTTCGATGAGGTTGATGGTTACAACCACCAGCGTCTTCGAGGAGGTGGAGGAGGAATGTAAAATCCAGGAGGTGCAATGGTTGGGTCTTATACGAGGTGTTTATTCCGGAGATGTTAAGGGACAGGGTCTCCCTGGCATTGTGAACTCGCCTGATGCTGCTCTCTCTCATTGCCGCTTTTCTGCTGCTGCTGCTACTCCCACAGGCAATGGCTGTGAGTGAAGACGGCGAAGTGCCACGGACTGGGGTCTCGCCTCCTCCCCTCGCCGCTGCCCACCAGGTAAGGAGGTCAACCCCCGACACCACAGGGTCCTCGCTGACGAGCAGCGGAGACGCCAGCACTCGGCGGGTACCAAGAGGACACCACCTGCCCATGAGGGCAACCACCTACCATGGGGCTGGGCACCGTTTTCACACTTGAATGAATAAAAACAACATTGGTGGGGCACTGATAGCTGACCGTGTAAGGTCATTATTAGACAGTTTAGTAAAACATGTAGTAAAGTCAATGTGTTGTATGTGTGTATGTTGAACTTCTTTCGCACCGTACGTAGCAAACCACACTAATCGGAGGTGCGGAGGAAGGACAACAAACTAAACACAAAAAGCAGTTCTAAAGAAATTCGTTTTCAATATAGATCATTTAAAAGTGCATAGCTTCCAGTGGCTTCCTCAAAGCGGAAGAGCATTCCAGACGGCCGCAGAAGCGCATCTGACCGGGCGCGATGCGGTGATTATCTTTCATAGATGGTTAGCCAAAATACGATTAAGTATTAATGTTTTATGCAACTCGTCACAGGTATCAACCGTGCAGCCGCTACGGGATCTGGCAGGAGAATATAAGAAGCTATGGCTTTGTGGTGGCATCCACAGCACAAGTAGCTGTTATCCTCTTTAACATGAACTCGGGTTCCTCCGCAACCACCCCAAGGAGCTGCCTCAGAAGAGCACAGCTGTCCATTAAGGTGGGAGGGGGGTCATAGGCCCCCGGCCATCCCATAGAATCGCCACGTCTGACGACTTGATTGCAAGACCTCTTCACCACAGACCCGAATGCAATCTCTGCCCTGCTGATGAGAGCAGCTCTACCGCGTATGGTAGTCCACGGCACCGGTGAGTTCACATCCAATACCTCTGGCCTCAAATTGGTGACACTTTGTGGGAATTCAGCAGTTGTCCTGTGGGTTAAGTATTGCAGAATGTGAACAAATGGCACACATACATTACATTACCGCATGTTTTTTTTGCATTTTCAGAACTTTTGTGGAATTCCACAAAATTAATTCCTCACTACCTACCCATGCCTCCAGTAATCGCTCTTCCACAATTGTTGGTGCAGCCTTTACCCGGCCCACTTTGGATCATTCCACAATTGACGAGTATTTGAACGTTTCGATTTTTTTATGGAATCGGCCATACATAAAATGCTAAATGTTTCCAATATTATGTGAAACTGGCCATCATTCTGCCAAAAACTGGTTAAACAACAACACCCAAAATATCTGCATGAATCAGGCCCAGATTGTTTTGTAGATTGTGGGTTTTAAGTACAAGCCAGCAGAGAGTGTATTGGACGTTCATCCTACACTTGCCAACTTCTTCAAATGTACTCTTTGGTTTTTTCGGTAAAGTCACGTATGTGAAAAAAATAAAATAAAAAGATATACAAAGTTCACCATTGGAACCTCCTTTGCCAGTAGCAAAATATGATAATTGTTTTTTACCCTTTTATCTGGCAACAAAACTGACACCTTTTTTTGTTCAATGCAAACATGACTCCTTGTAAAAAAAAGGTGTCAGTTTTGTTGCCAGATAAAAGGGTAAAAAAACAAGTATCATATTTTGCTACTGGCAAAGGAGGTTCCAATGGTGTAAATTCTTACCCCGAGCTCTCATACTCTGATGGTGCATTGTCTTTGAGTTGTGCGCCTTTTGGCGTCATCTGGTCCAACACCATGTGAGACTAGGCTGTAAGAAAAGCTGTCTCGGGTGTGGACCAATCAATTTCAGGACAGTGCATACATTATCAGAGTTGTGTTTTTTTTGCATTCTGACCACAGGTATTGTGGTCAATGCAAACATGACTCCTTGTAAAAAAGGTGTCAGTTTTGTTGCCAGATAAAAGGGTAAAAAAATATATATACAAAGTTTTTTCATTTTCACCTACGTGACTTTACCGAAAGAACCAAAGAGTATGGATCCTTGCGGTCACGAAAACTTCAAATTCTTGAAATGTGTCTTTTAAAATGAGCACAAGTTGAATAAGGAACCAATTCAGTCACCTGTGGTTGTTCCCCTTGGGATCATGACCCCACGAATAAGTTTCCAGATAAATCAGATGATGGGTTATGCTCTATAAGCACAACCTTGGCAGCCAATAGATTTCAAAGTTGCAAATGTTCTCCTGATGGAGGGTTTTTATCATATTTTAACCTAAATATCTTTAAAATAAGACCGCTATAGAACTAAATAATGTTGAACGTTAAATCAAGCACTGTCGTGAATTGTAAGAGAGCCTTACCATGCGTTTGTGTTATTTTGACATAAACTGCACTAATTGAATGCTTTGTTTTTATTTGTTTTATTTAACAATATCCTACCAGCTCTGCAGCAGTCGCGTTGGCCTTTCCAGTGTGAGAGCTGAAGAGATGTTGAAATCACAAGAAAGCAGAATTAAGGGTGACAACAACAACAATGGTGAGGACCGTTTAAAGTGTTCCTTTCATGTAAGAAGCAAATGCACGAAACTCTCCGGAAATAGTTTTACATTTTGGAGATGCTTTTGGCGACAGGTTGGGATTTCATGAAAGAATGAGGCTGGGCTTTGGGGCTGAGAGACACCGTTAGTGTAGGGCGGAGTTTAGTAGCCAAACCACGTGCGATAGGTTCATGTTCGAGACATCGTGCTGTTAGAAATGGGCCAGAATTATTTCACGGTCATTTTGGTTTAAATATGGCATGGAAAATAGTCCAGTAATCGCAAAGCAGGTCGTTCGTAACATGGAGGGCACAAGGGAGTGGCAAGGAAAAAAAACTAATTGACATTAAGAGTTATTGGGAAATAACAGAGCCAATCTGAGGATGTTGAAAATAAAGTCAAGTACTGCTGCTGAATGTTTAGTGACTTTTCTGAATACATTATTTGGTGCTCTTTACAATAAACTCCACTAGTTAGGATGTTTATTGTAATTAAGTTACATTTTACCTGATCTGCAGCAATTTTCACAGATGTCCAGTATTGTGGACGTATATGCCCAAAAATATGTTCTCAAATAACCCAGACTGATTCGTATATATGTACGTTTAACTTATTTCATATATATATACTTACATAAATACTTATTTCATACGCACAAATCAGTTTGAGTTATTTGAGAAAAAAAATTTGGGCATATCTACTGTTGTGTATGTACCCCCTTTTTATTTTTTTTTAATATTATTTTTTTTTAAGAATTATTCTGCCAACATAGATAATATCGTTTTTTTTTTAATAGACACGGGGCCACGTGGGAACGAACACGCCCCCACACTTCCACAGAGGCCCCACACTTCCACAGATGCGCGCATACCTCATTTCAAAGGAAAGACGGCATGAAAGAGGGTAATCAAGGTCATAAACTCCCCGAATTTCACACAAGAGGAACAAGGAATGGGGGAATTGCAGGCGGGGGGTTGCAGAACCAGGAGACACGGAGGAAGAGATAATTATATTCTGAACAAAGATAAGCCGGGATATCAGATTAAATAATCACAAGAAGTCAAATAATAAGTACGGAATTAAAGTAGAAGAGGAATCAAGGGCGGAGAAGGCTCTCAAAATTAACCAAACACAACACCCATGGGAAGCGAGCAACACGGCCGCCTTTGTCTTTCCGAGAGGATCTCCACACACAGGCACCAAGCTAGGAAATGACACCCATAAAGGGGGCAATTTCTCAAAGGAAATAAACACGTCTTCGAATAAATAAGCGCATGCGCCGGGTGCTCCCACCGTGGAAACAACCGCCTTTGTCTCCCCACAACACGGACAAACACGCACGCGAAACACACGGACGGACACACACACGGACGCAGATGGTTCAGCCCACAGGAAGGTTTTATGACAGCCTTTGAACAACTCGGGAAGCCGAGTGGAAGTTTCCGATATAAACCGAAGGAAAATCCATACAACTCAGATCGACAGGGGCTCTGGCCCCCATCACAGATCTCCAGGGCTGTGGCTCCATCTCTCCTCGTCGCCGCCAACGAAGAAGCTCCTGTCATTCAGAATGACGAGGTTTGCGGAGTAGCGACGCGTAGCTACAAGCCGAGGTCTGCACCACCTGAGAAGAATCGCTACCCTGAGTCGCAGAGCTGCGAGTGAAGCCAACAAAGACGCCAACGTCCACCCTGCCACGAACGAAGCATCGCTCCTCGTCAGAGTGACGACCAGCGAACAACCCGCAGGAAAGGCGGAGATCGCTGAACGAGCGCTGACCGAGCACAACCTTGCGCCACCGTGCGCCACCTTGCGCCACCGTGCGCCACGGCCTCCGTGCGCCACCGCGCGCCATCGAGCGACAACGAGCGACACCTTGCGCCACCGAGCGACACCGAGCGACACGAGCGACCGAGCATCTTCAAGGACAGCATCGTGCCAACTCGTCATCTAGCAGTAGAAAGAGAGAGCGCACGAGCAGCACCAAGCCCCCGGAACCATCAAGCGCCAAGCAAGCAAGTTTCTTCAAGGAACATCGTGCCAACGCCGCTCAATCCAGCAGTGGAGAGAGAGAGAGGAGAGCAAAAGCCGAGCGACACGCCGAGCGAGGGAGCAGCAGGAGCTGTTCGTATCCTCCCACACCACACAAGCTAACGACACAATTAATATTACGAGGGGACAACGCACACACAGCACGCACACGAATAAGACTTTCAAAGAAAGTGATCTTTGCGTTTCAAAAGGGTTGCCATTTCGAGGTGGTGCGTTCAATATCAACTGATCGTGCAAAGCAGTTGCTGCCGTCGAGTTACATAAATGCATAAGAGTTTTCGTTATTCATATTGCATAATTGCATAATTTCGCAACTGCATAAGTTTTTGTCGTTCATATTAGTTAATTGCATAATCTTGCCCATGAATTATTGACGCATGTTTGACCTGCATGATAGAATGTCACGTGCTTGTTAGAATAAAATTGTTATCACAGAAGCATATCGAGTGTTCCTTCCAAGTCCATGCAAAACTGTCTTATTCTTGACAACTGTATCCTGTGATGAGATATGAAAATGGAGACCTAAAATATTATAACACACACTAGGATAATCGGTAAATGAATCTATGATAATCGTGTTATCCTGATTGATAACTCTGGATAAACGAAACTAAGCAAATTATCATAACTGCACACATTAACATAATCGCAAGCCTCCGCATAAATTACTACGATTATCATAATTTATGCATATAATCACACGCATTATCATAATTTATGCATATTAATACACACACTATCATAATTAATGCGATTTGCGCATTTTTCGGAAAATTATTAATTTTTATTATTTTCATCAAAATTTCATAATCACAACACATACAACATAATGGGTGGCGTCGTCCGGGATCTCTCGCAGACAGTGTTTTGCATGGATGATGGAATGAATCACTTCGTGTTAACCAGAATATCAGGATCGAACATTGCATGGTGATTGTGAACGGGCGGAAAACTAAAAAACGCCCTCTAAGGTTAAAACCCAGAATAGCAGGTTAAAACAGAGACAGTGGAATTAAGATAATATCGTATCAAACCAATTGCATCCTCTGATAAATGGTGTTAGAGGTACGCACTCTGAATCGGAAAATAACAGATAGCTCGAGTCAAATTGACTACACTCTGTGAGATAATTGTTTTATATGCACTCTGAAAAGAAATGTCAAAGTAACTTCCGCCATACCTAAGATGCTAGGATTAAGAATAATTTTTGAATGGGTTACGGGATACGGGGAGCTCGTATTTAAACGTACCGACCAATCTGTTACAAAGCAGTACAGTCAGAGAGACATATGGGAAGGGAGCTGTATCGATAACACGAACACACCTCGGGGGAAACTAATTGACTGGATAAAATGTAACGAAGGCGAACACGATGTAAAAACTGCAGGAAAGGCAGGACAGGACTCATTCCTTTTCACACAGGCATACAGACAGGGATTGTGGAATGAGGAAAAATTTGGAAAGGAAACGGGAGAGAAATCAGTACTCGCGACACCAGCGAAACTCACAGACGTTGATCCGCAGAATAAATATGGAAGTAACAGTAAATCACACTCTTGGGTACGTGGACAGAGTCCAGGGACTAATCGCACAAAAATTATGGATGTCGAACAAAAAATCCTTGACAAAGGGAAACCCTCACAATTCGAGAGAGGGAGGAAAAATGTTAAAGTAAAGTCGACAGGACATGCTCCACTAAGGGCAGAGGCAAAAACTGAAGGGAAATGGCAACACGCCCGACACGGCACAGACCAAAGTGACAGATTGCCTGATGATAACTTGTTTTATGATGACGCTGTCGGCGATCAACTTTCGGAATACCTATTCACCAGTAAAACCCTTAAATTGATGGACAAGGCTCTAGTCAGAATTCCCGATTTTGACCCCCACAATAAGACTATGGATATCCACACACATATCGCAACCGTAGAAGAGGAGGCAATGATTAGAGGGCTGAGGAGACGGGATGAAAAAGCGAGTTTGTTGAAACGGACCTTACATAAAGAATCCATTCCATGGGTAAAGTCACTACCACACAAGGTTAGAAATGATTTTAAACAACTGAGCCTGGCAGTGATTCGGAAGTTTGGAGAATATTCGACACTCACTGAGGGGTTTTATGCTGTAAAATCGATGACCCAGGGCATGGACCAAGATCCACGTGACTACCTCGTCCAATTTAAAAGAGCGTATTATGCAGGCGATGTGAATCAATACCACGAAGGAGATAAAATGTTCAAAATTATGTTTTTTGAATCCTTGAGCCCAGAGATTACAGAAAGGGTGAGAATGGTTTTGAATCCAGAAACCGCATCCTTACGCCGCATAGAGAGCAAGGCGTACATGGCATGGTTATACAGAGCTAAGAATCATAATTCGGATCCAGAACACAGGGAGAGGGATGAGGAACCCAGCCTCTCAGAGAGGAATAAAAATCACCGAGCAGTCCCACAATGCAGGACAGAGCAGAAACGCACGCACACATGGCAAAATAACCCAGAGAGAGGTTGGCACGAGAATGAGAGCGGCACAAAGCCGAACATTCAGGAGAATCGCAGGAGGGGGAGGTTCAGAATAGAACCATACCAACACCCCATGCCACGACACACACAAGATCAAAATTACCCACAAAGATGGCGAGGTAACAATCCAGGAAAAATTTGGCACCCAAATGGGAGAAATACTGGGCTAAAAATGTACGAGAATCGCAGGAGGGAGAGGTTCAGAGCAGAACCATATCAACACCCCATCCCACGACACACGCAAGGTTCAAATTACGCACAGAGATGGGAAGATAACCACCTAGCGGGAAGGTGTTACACAGACCGCGGAGGTATGGATGCGAACATTCAGGAGAATCGCAGGATGGGAGGTCAAACACAATCGATCCAATTCCGACCAATTCCTCCACCGGCTATACCAGGAGGGAATAGAGGAATAACACAGAATGCGGTCCAAATACGTGATGAACCATCCACAGTGAGTGCGAGCGAGCGGCCAACACGCGCCCCACCCGCCGAGGTGTTAAACCCTGAGCAGGCTGCAAGTGACAGGGCTGAATGGAAGAGTGATCGGACGGTGGATAGCAGACAGCAGAGACAAAGAGAGAACACAGAGACACGCCCTGAGGAGCGCAGGCGTGAGCCTTTGAATGGAAAATATCCAAGGGAAACCAAAAATGTATGTGGATCGGAGTGCTAAAATGGAGACGAATGTCCATGACAGTATCAGGAATGGTGTTGGAATCTAACACACTCGTAAAAACAAAGAGGGCAACATTACGAAGGCACAGAATTAAGTCGACACACTGACTCGGCAAATGTGCATGTAATCGCAGAGAGAGCGAATGCCACGAACCAAGTGTCAAAGTGGGTCGTGTGCGCGAATTCTGGTTACGTGCAGCACAATTTTTCACCACACACTCCCACGACGCGAGAGAGTGAGAGAGGAAACTACAAAAACGAACCCGAAAACCGTGATCAAATTATCAAAGTGATAAGTGGTAAACCAGGCAACATGAGGAAGGTAACGCATAAATGCGTTCGAAACCGCTACCTAGCGTTTCCCAGGATTTAACAAAACAAAAATGAATGTTCGTCAGAGTTATGATGTATGAGAACCGATGTAACGCAATATCGATG